TCCTTGATGTCCATCATCATATTTAACTCTGACTCCCTCTCTGCATCCATTCAGGACCCTCTCACAGAATCCTCTCACCGTGTGGATGTGGATGAGGGTGTCTGCAGTGTAGCGCAACAAGGCCTTCTGGAGCTCCTTTCTGTATGAAAAGGGAAACCAATCAACCCAGTGTAGTCTAGTTTTTTTCCATGCATAACTTTTCTCAGGGCTTTTGTTTTTGTTTGTTTGAAGTTGCACAATATGTCCACCAGATGTCGCCAAAGCGCATAAAAAAATCACAGTGCTAAAACTGTTCTCGCTGTTAAATGAGTTCAACGTTTCAGAAGACATTATTCATGCTCTAATAAGGCAGCATTTGGGATATTGTAAAGCTATCAGTTGATTCAATTAAATCAGAAATAAACCCCCAATTATTTACATTAAGTTACATAATTGAAATTTAGACATGAAATGCTGATATTCAGGAAAAACACATTTGTCTCCCCCCACTGTTTGTCGTCCTGATAGTAAATATAGTATAATATATATTAATATATATATTATATATATATATATATATATATATATATATAAATTAGGACCTTTAAGTCAGTGTGAAAAACAAACTCAAAAGGATCACGTACTGTAGGCTAGATGCATGTTGTGCACTGGGGGTTAAAAGAACAATAAAATGTCGCATCATTCTCGTCTGAACAACTTCACAACATTTTAAAAACAAAATTGATTGCGTATTCAACATTTAAAGAAACACACAAAAATCAAACACTTGAAGGCAGCTCGTTGTATCTCAACGTACAGTTTTCTTTTATGCTTGCGATGGCATGTATTTATAATTTCCTATGCAACAGTAGTAACAGATGCAGGGTTCCTTACCTTGACGGGGACATCCTGTTGCCTCTCTTTATGCTGCTGTCTTCTGTAACTTTACTGGGCTCTAAAATGAAAATAGAGACTATAGATCATACTTTTTATTGAAAACGCCCCTGTCGAAAAAAAGGCTTGCATCTATGAAGGTTGATATGTTGCAAAATAGGAGAGCTTGTAGAATGTGATGTGAGAACTTGAAGGAGAAAAAAGGTGAACTCGTATGTAAAAATGTTTACTTGTATAATAAATCCACTACTTTTGCTGCAGAAGAAACGATATAATTCGCAAGGGATTGTGGGATAGGTAGTCCCTTGACTCAGGACAAAAATGATGTACACAGTCTTGTATCTTTGCCTTTCTCTTCTTAAAAGTAACTTGAGTCGTTATAATGTTTATACTGTTAATGCAAGTGTTGCACTGTCTTGCAGTTTGTGGTTGTGGTGAATACATAAAGTGCATCAACTGGAAATTAACTTCTCATTGGCCAATTCCCCCCACACGCAGACACAGCGAGGGGGAAGGGGGGGAGGGCATTTCTACAAGTACAAATTTATTTTGCTACAGACGTCTCACAAAATGTGTTGCAAAACCCAAGCAGCGCAGATTCGCGGATTTTTTTTATCCAAGTAAACATTTTTACATACAAAGTTCACTTTTTTTATCCTTCAAGTTCTCACATCACATTCTACAAGCTCTCCTATTTTGCAACATGTCAACATTCATATGCAGCCGCCTGATTTACTGTCACTGGTCCTTCTCTCAAAACTTTCTGCAGCTCTTTTCACTGAGGGGAATGGTCTGTCCTAAATTCCCTAATCACACTCCTTTCACCAACAACCCCACTCCAATAATCTCCGTTTTTACCGATGGACCAAACTCAGTCTGGAAATAATGGTTTCGTTTTCTGAGTCTCGAGAAAAGTATAATTCAAATCATGTAAGTGTTAAACGGGCAAACGGAGAAGACTCCCCTCCCGGTCCGTTATCTCCTCACTCACTCTCCCATACGCAAAAAAACCTCTTTACTCCTCAACACCGACTGACTTTTAGAATTCTGATCTTAATCTCAAACTTCTTAAATTAAAGTCTGAATTCTGAGGAGAAAAAGTCCAAATGAACAAAACAAAAGTCAGTGGCCCTAATCCTCTTTCGTTCGTTTTGATCTAAAGGCTTGTACTTAAATGCTTGACATGTGTTTCTTAATAAATAGAAGTTCATGCCTGTGTATGTATGCATTTCTTTTCTAAACAAAAATGAAATGAAATGTTTTTAATGCGTATTCAACATTTAAAGAAACACACAAAGATCAAACACTTGAAGGCAGCTCGTTGTATCTCAACGTACAGTTTTCTTTTATTCTTGCGATGGCATGTATTTATAATTTCCTGTGCAACAGTAGTAACAGCTGCAGGGTTCCTTACCTTGACGCGGAAGTCCTGTTGCCTCTCTTTATGCTGCTGTCTTCTGTAACTTTACTGGGCTCTAAAATGAAAATAGAGACTATAGATCATACTTTTTATTGAAAACGCCCCTGTCGAAAAAAAGGCTTGCATCTATGAAGGTTGATATGTTGCAAAATAGGAGAGCTTGTAGAATGTGATGTGAGAACTTGAAGGAGAAAAAAGGTGAACTCGTATGTAAAATTTTACTTGTATAAAAATCCACTACTTTTGCTGCAGAAGAAACGATATAATTCGCAAGGGATTGTGGGATAGGTAGTCCCTTGACTCAGGACAAAAATGATGTACACAGTCTTGTATCTTTGCCTTTCTCTTCTTAAAAGTAACTTGAGTCGTTATAGTGTTTATACTGTTAATGCAAGTGTTGCACTGTCTTGCAGTTTGTGGTTGTGGTGAATACATAAAGTGCATCAACTGGAAATTAACTTCTCATTGGCCAATTCCCCCCACACGCAGACACAGCGAGGGGGAAGGGGGGGAGGGCATTTCTACAAGTACAAATTTATTTTGCTACAGACGTCTCACAAAATGTGTTGCAAAACTCAAGCAGCGCAGATTCGCGGATTTTTTTTATCCAAGTAAACATTTTTACATACAAAGTTCACTTTTTTTTCCTTCAAGTTCTCACATCACATTCTACAAGCTCTCCTATTTTGCAACATATCAACATTCATATGCAGCCGCCTGATTTACTGTCACTGGTCCTTCTCTCAAAACTTTCTGCAGCTCTTGCACATTTTCACTGAGGGGAATGGTCTGTCCTAAGTTCCCTAATCACACTCCTCTCACCAACAACCCCACTCCAATAATCTCCGTTTTTACCGATGGACCAAACTCAGTCTGGAAATAATGGTTTCGTTTTCTGAGTCTCGAGAAAAGTATAATTCAAATCATGTAAGTGTTAAACGGGCAAACGGAGAAGACTCCCCTCCCGGTCCGTTATCTCCTCACTCACTCTCCCATACGCAAAAAACCTCTTTACTCCTCAACACCGACTGACTTTTAGAATTCTGATCTTAATCCCAAACTTCTTAAATTAAAGTCTGAATTCTGAGGAGAAAAAGTCCAAAAAAAAAAAAAAAATGACAAAAAAAGTCAACCCCCCCCCCCCACCAAAAAAACAAAACAAATGTCAGTGGCCCTAATCCTCTTTCGTTCGTTTTGATCTAAAGGCTTGTACTTAAATGCTTGACATGTGTTTCTTAATAAATAGAAGTTCATGCCTGTGTATGTATGCATTTCTTTTCTAAACAAAAATGAAATGAAATGTTTTTAATGCGTATTCAACATTTAAAGAAACACACAAAAATCAAACACTTGAAGGCAGCTCGTTGTATCTCAACGTACAGTTTTCTTTTATTCTTGCGATGGCATGTATTTATAATTTCCTATGCAACAGTAGTAACAGATGCAGGGTTCCTTACCTTGAAGTCCTGTTGCCTCTCTTTATGCTGCTGTCTTCTGTAACTTTACTGGGCTCTCTTCATTTTATCTGCGTGGCTAAAATGAAAATAGAGACTAGAGATCACACTTTATATTGAAAAGCTCCGTAGAAAAAAACTTCACATGACACCCCTGTGTTTGGTTTCGTTTTCATCTCGTCACACCCACGTAGGCCTACATTCATAAGTGTCTTTCTTTTGTTGTGTACTGGGATGATCGTAAGTGTACCTGGTACCGTAACAACTCAGATTAAAGATCGATGATGGACTGTGTAGTTATATCTTCACATCTCGACACTCCAGTGAAGAGAGGAGCCAGAGCTGTCAGCAGCTGATTCCCACCTGGAGGCGAGATGGATCAGGTGGTGGGGCAGGCTGCCGGACAGACCTGGTAAACCTAAACGTGTCCTAAATCCACTTTGGTAATCCTTTAAAAGTCCCTTACTCTCTACATTAGATTTGAATCATTCATGTATCATTGTTTTCATAGTTCTTCCCTACACAAGATGTCAATACAATTGGTTTATGACTTTCTGCTGAACTTGAATCATTGCCTGGTTTGCATTTGGGGACAATTCATGACTCTTTCCAATGGGAGGGTAAACATCCCTCTTCCCATATCTTATTATTTTTAAATAAATGTAAATATTTATTTGCCCTTATCACTTGATTTGATTAACAAACAGTCACTGACCTGATCTCTTCCATGGTGATGTTTTTCTATATTTATTCAAAGCTTGATACAGTTCTGTTAAATAAAGTCAACAACATATTGAATCATCATCCCTCTCATCCTGCAAAGCTTCTACATTTCTTTATATTGTTTTCCTCTCTTTCACTCCTTTCCTCATTACTCAAACTTTCGTGACTATGGAATTTAACAAATGTCCTTGCCAATAATTCTGCCTTTTCCTAAATGTATAGGCTATAACTACACTGTAATTGATCTGGATCTTCTCCCATGTTAAGTCTTTCATATCTCCACATCCTCTTCCTCCGCAGTAACAACATTTAATAGTAGGCCGACTGTTAAAAAAAAAAGTCAGTGGTCCTAATCCTCTTTCGTACATTTTGATCTAAAGGCTTGTGCTTAAAAGCTTGACATGTGTTTCTTAATAAATAGAAATAGTGAAGTTGATGCCTCGATATGTATGCATTTCTTTTCTAAACAAAAATTAAATTAAATGTTTTATTTATTGTTTTTATTTATTGTTTCATAGTTTTTGTATTATTCTAAAATGTGGAAAATAGTTAGAATAAAGAAAACCCCTTCCATTAGTATGTGTTCCCTAGAGACAGCTTACAGTAGTTATATTATCATAATATAGTGTTCTGTATTATTGATAATAATATATTACTATTATGGCCAAACTTTTGACTGGTAGTGTATATATATGAATAAAGGAAGAACAAAATGATGTGGAGTTCTCAGGGATTCTTTTTTTATTCAAAAATTAGGTTTACAAAAACATGAAATGGTTATATGATCACAGGATATCAATTATGAGTATAACTTCACCTTTAATGAGCCCACACATTTAAGCGCTAAGGGCCCATTTATTCAAGTTCCCTTTGGAGAGACAATTCAACTGTATTGATTTCTCCTACAGATAACTGTTTCAAATTCAATTTGAAAATGAATCTGGCTCAGCGAAAGGTTAAAGAAAATCCAACATTCACGAGAAGAAAAGTGGCATGGAAAGTTGCTTAATGTCATAATAATTACATACATTTTTAATTTTAACAGTGTTTGATCCTGAACAGTAATCTTTAAGCAAAGTGCAATTATCATTTCTTTGTTGGATCATACATTAAGTTGATATCAAATCTTATTGCTCAAGTTGCTAAAAAAAAGAAAACAGGCCAATCATACCTGAAGACTACTGTATTACACATTTTTCTTCCTTCCTTTTCCATGTTTTCCTTCTCTTCATCAGGGGGAATTTCCATTTCCGTTTGTTTTTTTTCTTCGTCTCCATCTTCAGCTCACTCTCCAACTCTGGATGAAATGGCATTTCCAGGATAGCTTTGTTTTTCTCTGATTTCTGCAGACCTTCTATCAGGGAGTCGTAGATTTTCTGCCAGGCGTCGATCTCTGAGCGCCACAGCGCCGCTCTGGCTCTGATGAACTGTGAGGCTTCGGTCTCGCTGCCTTTGGACAGACTGATGCTGTATTTACAGATGTAGAAGACATCCATGCCGAGAAAAAGAGCATTCAGCCCGATGAGACCGGCTCTGACGGACTTGGTGAGGGCAGAGGCCCTTTGATTGCTGCCTGTCCGATATCTGGGATGTCTGCGGCCACCTTTGGCACTTCGTAAAGCTTGACCTTCTCAGCCAACACTTACCAGCTTACAACAGCTCCTCATTTTTAACATTTTAAAGCTTGACCAGCATAACAAGTACAACACTCTTGCAATGACACCACCTTTGACAAGCACCTTGCCCACTCCCAAGACTACATCTATCTGACTTGCTTTCATTCTGGCGACAGTTTGATCGCTGACTTTCTTCAGACAATCCTGGAGACTCTGCAAATCCTTCATGAACCCCTTGAAGACCTTAGCGGCTTTATTTCGTTGTGTAGTGTTTACTCCTAACTCTGTCGCCGTAGTGACAAGGTTATTGACCCCGTTGGTGATACTAAGCCCTATCCCAGTCATGGTAAGAGCCAGAGACACTCCAGCTGTTACAGGAGCCAATGCCAAACCAATGATGGAAAGCACGCCTCCAACCGCCCCCACTGAGCTGCCCACCACACTGGAGATCTTTGCCCCCTTATTCATGGAGTCGAGCTGAACAGCAATCTCCTCCAGTCCATCTAGAGACTGCAGCAGGCGAGGTAGACAATCTCTGAACTCGTCGAGGAAGCCAAAGCAGTCATGAAACAAGTACACCAAAGAGAAGTGCTGGTTCATTCTGATGAAGAGAGAAAACAGGAAATGAATAAAAGGATATTTAACAAAATAATTCACAACTGTAACTGAGGTCCTCCCTCCTTGAACTCTTTAAAGCTCCTGTGAAGAGTTTTTAGGGCGCGGTCACACTGGCATTCTGTACCGTGCCCAAGCACGCTTCACCTCTAAAGTCCAGTTTGTTTGACCAGTGTGACCGCTCCATGCCGTGCTCAAGCACGGTACACTTACTTGGCCATGGCACGCTTCGGAGAGGTGTGATTTGGCACGGTACAGTTCATGCACGATCATGAGCACGGGGGTAAACAGCAAAATATCACAACGGCAATATACTGTCAAACTGAAGCGAGGGGTACAGTAATCTAACTGAAGGTGCACAGTGTCGATATTAAAATGTTTTAATTAAGGAGCTTTAAATAAAGACGACTTCATTACTCATCATGATGGTATTTAAGACATAAATAAGGGAAACATGAACAGTTTAGCTGACCAAAGAAGTTGACAGTGGGCTACAACAGCGTTGAAAAGATGAAGCCTGATATGAGGCGAACGTAACACCAAATGGCAGTGAATAAATACATTAATCCTGCATTTTACCTTTGAAGGCTCATTTTGTCATCTCCAATTAGTTAGATATCATCATGGATAATTTTATGATTTTCTTACAATTTATCAATTATTGCAGAATCGCTGTGTCATGATATCAACGTTATCTTGGGCCACCTATTGTGTATCCTGAGTATACCCTGACTGTATTACTTAAATGACCAGAATGCATACATATGGAATGATGCTGCTAACCTGATGTCATCCAGCTGATTGATGTGATAGAGCATCCTCTCCATGTCGTCTTCTGATAAATCCAAATCCAGGTCTACTGCAGATTTCTTGATCATGTTCAGGTCGAAGTCACTGAAAGTGCTTTTAAAGACACAGTTATATTTACTCACTGAAACCGACTTCTATTTAGAAATAAATAAAGATTTTCTTTTAAGGAATGACGGTTTACCTTTTCTCCAACAGTCCACAGATCCTCTGGGTGGTCTGGATGTATTTGTCCAGCTGATACGCTAGCACTTCCACATTCTGCAGTTTGGGCTGGAAGAAGACCATTTCATCTCTTTTAAACTCAACGAGCAGAGGGCAGACCAGCCGTGCGGCAGCGATCACCACCTGAACATGATCGAGGCCGACCCCCTCTGGCAGGTGTAACACCACCTGCCTCCCCTCCACGAACACATGAAGTGAGGTGACTGCCAGCTTCTCTACCGCATCCAGGAAACAGTGGAGCTTCTCCAGTTCCATCAGAGTGTCCTTCAGCACAGCAGCCAGCTCCTTCTCCAGCTCTTCCAACCTGCTCTTTGCGGTCACCTGTGTCACCTTGCTCTTCATGTACTCAAGAAAGGCTTTTCCTTTTTCTCTGACTGGCTAACATGGCTGATGTTTAGGTCGATGCCGTCAGCCCTGTCCTTGATGTCCATCATCATGTTTAACTCTGACTCCCTCCTAGCATCCATTCAGGGACCCTCTCACAGAATCCTCTCACCGTGTGGATGTGGATGAGGGTGTCTGCAGTGTAGCGCAACAAGGCCTTCTGGAGCTCCTTTCTGTATGAAAAGGGAAACCAATCAACCCAGTGTAGTCTAGTTTTTTTCCATGCATAACTTTTCTCAGGGCTTTTGTTTCGGTTTTAATTGAAGTTGCACAATATGTCCACCAGATGTCGCCAAAGCGCATAAAAAAGTCACAGTGCTAAAACTGTTCTCGCTGTTAAATGACTTCAAGTTTCAGAAGACATTATTCATGCTCTAATAAGGCAGCATTTGGGATATTGTAAAGCTATCAGTTGATTCAATTAAATCAGAAATAAACCAAGTTTATTTACATTAAGTTACATAATTAAAAGCTGAAATTTAGGACATGGTCTCCCACTGTTTGTCGTCCTGAATAGTAATATATATAAATTAGGACCTTTAAGTCAGTGTGAAAAACAAACTCAAAAGGATCACGTACTGTAGGCTAGATGCATGTTGTGCACTGGGGGTTAAAAGAACAATAAAATGTCGCATCATTCTGTCTGAACAACTTCACAACATTTTAAAAACAAAATTGATTGCGTATTCAACATTTAAAGAAACACACAAAAATCAAACACTTGAAGGCAGCTCGTTGTATCTCAACGTACAGTTTTCTTTTATTCTTGCGATGGCATGTATTTATAATTTCCTATGCAACAGTAGTAACAGCTGCAGGGTTCCTTACCTTGACGGGACATCCTGTTGCCTCTCTTTATGCTGCTGTCTTCTGTAACTTTACTGGGCTCTAAAATGAAAATAGAGACTATAGATCATACTTTTTATTGAAAACGCCCCTGTCGAAAAAAAGGCTTGCATCTATGAAGGTTGATATGTTGCAAAATAGGAGAGCTTGTAGAATGTGATGTGAGAACTTGAAGGAGAAAAAAGGTGAACTCGTATGTAAAAATGTTTACTTGTATAATAAATCCACTACTTTTGCTGCAGAAGAAACGATATAATTCGCAAGGGATTGTGGGATAGGTAGTCCCTTGACTCAGGACAAAAATGATGTACACAGTCTTGTATCTTTGCCTTTCTCTTCTTAAAAGTAACTTGAGTCGTTATAATGTTTATACTGTTAATGCAAGTGTTGCACTGTCTTGCAGTTTGTGGTTGTGGTGAATACATAAAGTGCATCAACTGGAAATTAACTTCTCATTGGCCAATTCCCCCACACGCAGACACAGCGAGGGGAAGGGGGGAGGGCATTTCTACAAGTACAAATTTATTTTGCTACAGACGTCTCACAAAATGTGTTGCAAAACCAAGCAGCGCAGATTCGCGGATTTTTTTTATCCAAGTAAACATTTTTACATACAAAGTTCACTTTTTTTATCCTTCAAGTTCTCACATCACATTCTACAAGCTCTCCTATTTTGCAACATGTCAACATTCATATGCAGCCGCCTGATTTACTGTCACTGGTCCTTCTCTCAAAACTTTCTGCAGCTCTTTTCACTGAGGGGAATGGTCTGTCCTAAATTCCCTAATCACACTCCTTTCACCAACAACCCCACTCCAATAATCTCCGTTTTTACCGATGGACCAAACTCAGTCTGGAAATAATGGTTTCGTTTTCTGAGTCTCGAGAAAAGTATAATTCAAATCATGTAAGTGTTAAACGGGCAAACGGAGAAGACTCCCCTCCCGGTCCGTTATCTCCTCACTCACTCTCCCATACGCAAAAAACCGCTTTACTCCTCAACACCGACTGACTTTTAGAATTCTGATCTTGATCTCAAAATTCTTAAATTAAAGTCTGAATTCTGAGGAGAAAAAGTCCAAATAAACAAAACAAATGTAAGTGGCCCTAATCTTCTTTCGTTCGTTTTGATTTAAAGGCTTGTACTTAAATGCTTGACATGTGTTTCTTAATAAATAGAAGTTCATGCCTGTGTATGTATGCATTTCTTTTCTAAACAAAAATGAAATGAAATGTTTTTAATGCGTATTCAACATTTAAAGAAACACACAAAGATCAAACACTTGAAGGCAGCTCGTTGTATCTCAACGTACAGTTTTCTTTTATTCTTGCGATGGCATGTATTTATAATTTCCTATGCAACAGTAGTAACAGCTGCAGGGTTCCTTACCTTGACGCGGAAGTCCTGTTGCCTCTCTTTATGCTGCTGTCTTCTGTAACTTTACTGGGCTCTAAAATGAAAATAGAGACTATAGATCATACTTTTTATTAAAAACGCCCCTGTCGAAAAAAAGGCTTGCATCTATGAAGGTTGATATGTTGCAAAATAGGAGAGCTTGTAGAATGTGATGTGAGAACTTGAAGGAGAAAAAAGGTGAACTCGTATGTAAAATTTTTTACTTGTATAAAAAAATCCACTACTTTTGCTGCAGAAGAAACGATGTAATTCGCAAGGGATTGTGGGATAGGTAGTCCCTTGACTCAGGACAAAAATGATGTACACAGTCTTGTATCTTTGCCTTTCTCTTCTTAAAAGTAACTTGAGTCGTTATAGTGTTTATACTGTTAATGCAAGTGTTGCACTGTCTTGCAGTTTGTGGTTGTGGTGAATACATAAAGTGCATCAACTGGAAATTAACTTCTCATTGGCCAATTCCCCCCACACGCAGACACAGCGAGGGGGAAGGGGGGGAGGGCATTTCTACAAGTACAAATTTATTTTGCTACAGACGTCTCACAAAATGTGTTGCAAAACTCAAGCAGCGCAGATTCGCGGATTTTTTTTATCCAAGTAAACATTTTTACATACAAAGTTCACTTTTTTTTTTCCTTCAAGTTCTCACATCACATTCTACAAGATCTCCTATTTTGCAACATATCAACATTCATATGCAGCCGCCTGATTTACTGTCACTGATCCTTCTCTCAAAACTTTCTGCAGCTCTTGCAGATTTTCACTGAGGGGAATGGTCTGTCCTAAATTCCCTAATCACACTCCTCTCACCAACAACCCCACTCCAATAATCTCCGTTTTTACCGATGGACCAAACTCAGTCTGGAAATAATGGTTTCGTTTTCTGAGTCTCGAGAAAAGTATAATTCAAATCATGTAAGTGTTAAACGGGCAAACGGAGAAGACTCCCCTCCCGGTCCGTTATCTCCTCACTCACTCTCCCATACGCAAAAAAACCTCTTTACTCCTCAACACCGACTGACTTTTAGAATTCTGATCTTAATCTCAAACTTCTTAAATTAAAGTCTGAATTCTGAGGAGAAAAAGTCCAAATAAAAAAATAAAAATGACAAAAAAAGTCAACCACCCCCCCACCAAAAAAACAAAACAAATGTCAGTGGCCCTAATCCTCTTTCGTTCGTTTTGATCTAAAGGCTTGTACTTAAATGCTTGACATGTGTTTCTTAATAAATAGAAGTTCATGCCTGTGTATGTATGCATTTCTTTTCTAAACAAAAATGAAATGAAATGTTTTTAATGCGTATTCAACATTTAAAGAAACACACAAAAATCAAACACTTGAAGGCAGCTCGTTGTATCTCAACGTACAGTTTTCTTTTATTCTTGCGATGGCATGTATTTATAATTTCCTATGCAACAGTAGTAACAGATGCAGGGTTCCTTACCTTGAAGTCCTGTTGCCTCTCTTTATGCTGCTGTCTTCTGTAACTTTACTGGGCTCTCTTCATTTTATCTGCGTGGCTAAAATGAAAATAGAGACTAGAGATCACACTTTATATTGAAAAGCTCCGTAGAAAAAAACTTCACATGACACCCCTGTGTTTGGTTTCGTTTTCATCTCGTCACACCCACGTAGGCCTACATTCATAAGTGTCTTTCTTTTGTTGTGTACTGGGATGATCGTAAGTGTACCTGGTACCGTAACAACTCAGATTAAAGATCGATGATGGACTGTGTAGTTATATCTTCACATCTCGACACTCCAGTGAAGAGAGGAGCCAGAGCTGTCAGCAGCTGATTCCCACCTGGAGGCGAGATGGATCAGGTGGTGGGGCAGGCTGCCGGACAGACCTGGTAAACCTAAACGTGTCCTAAATCCACTTTGGTAATCCTTTAAAAGTCCCTTACTCTCTACATTAGATTTGAATCATTCATGTATCATTGTTTTCATAGTTCTTCCCTACACAAGATGTCAATACAATTGGTTTATGACTTTCTGCTGAACTTGAATCATTGCCTGGTTTGCATTTGGGGACAATTCATGACTCTTTCCAATGGGAGGGTAAACATCCCTCTTCCCATATCTTATTATTTTAAATAAATGTAAATATTTATTTGCCCTTATCACTTGATTTGATTAACAAACAGTCACTGACCTGATGTCTTCCATGGTGATGTTTTTCTATATTTATTCAAAGCTTGATACAGTTCTGTTAAATAAAGTCAACAACATATTGAATCATCATCCCTCTCATCCTGCAAAGCTTCTACATTTCTTTATATTGTTTTCCTCTCTTTCACTCCTTTCCTCATTACTCAAACTTTCGTGACTATGGAATTTAACAAATGTCCTTGCCAATAATTCTGCCTTTTCCTAAATGTATAGGCTATAACTACACTGTAATTGATCTGGATCTTCTCCCATGTTAAGTCTTTCATATCTCCACATCCTCTTCCTCCGCAGTAACAACATTTAATAGTAGGCCGACTGTTAAAAAAAAAAGTCAGTGGTCCTAATCCTCTTTCGTACATTTTGATCTAAAGGCTTGTGCTTAAAAGCTTGACATGTGTTTCTTAATAAATAGAAATAGTGAAGTTGATGCCTACGTATGTATGCATTTCTTTTCTAAACAAAAATTAAATTAAATGTTTTTTAGTTCTATTGTTTTTATTTATTGTTTCATAGTTTTTGTATTATTCTAAAATGTGGAAAATAGTTAGAATAAAGAAAACCCCTTCCATTAGTATGTGTTCCCTAGAGACAGCTTACAGTAGTTATATTATCATAATATAGTGTTCTGTATTATTGATAATAATATATTACTATTATGGCCAAACTTTTGACTGGTAGTGTATATATATGAATAAAGGAAGAACAAAATGATGTGGAGTTCTCAGGGATTCTTTTTTTATTCAAAAATTAGGTTTACAAAAACATGAAATGGTTATATGATCACAGGATATCAATTATGAGTATAACTTCACCTTTAATGAGCCCACACATTTAAGCGCTAAGGGCCCATTTATTCAAGTTCCCTTTGGAGAGACAATTCAACTGTATTGATTTCTCCTACAGACAACTGTCTAGTCTTCATAGAAAGATGGGCATCCTCAGCTGAGATCCACAGACTGCCCCAGGTCTTTCGCAGAGCTACACCAAAATGATCAAAACGAGTAAAAAAGTCTTTCTGTTGCATGTAGTGGTATTTATTCCTCTGAGCAGAGAATGAAGGCGTTCCAGTGGGTTTCAGAACCCGCCCACAATTTCTTCTGCTGTTGTACTTTCAATAATGTGTGTGTGTGTGTGAGAATAAGTTTAAATACATATTCATGAGCATGTGCAGACAGACTCACACGAGTTTCCCTGCACCTGTCACAAGAGTCTTTCTCCTTTCCTGGTCTAAAAAAAGAGAGTTTATTCCTTTATACCATGTTGACACTAACAGTCTCCCTCCTATCCAAGGAGAAGATGCTGCATGAGCGGCCTCTGTTCTCATAAATGTATTAAGTTATGTCAATTTGAATGTTTTTTTGTTTTTTTTTCCTCCACCACCGAATGTCATAGTAATTGTTAGTCATATTAAAAAGTAGTCTGCAATATCAACCAACTTTTTTTCCACACATCAATTGCTTTTTCAAAGATGAATTGCGGCTTATACCAGGGGTTCACAAAGAGGGGGTCGGGAAACACGGAGGGGTACACTGTGAGGGGGGTTGCAAGATGCCTTCCAAAAACAAATTCAATTTGAAAATGAATCTGGCTCAGCAAAAGGTTAAAAGAAAATACATCATTCCCGAGAATAAAAGTGGCACTGAAAGTTGCTTAATGTCATAATAATTACATACATTCATCAAGTCTTCAGTTTAACAATGTTTGAGCCTGAACAGTAATCTTTAAGCAAAGTGCAATTATCATTTCTTTGTTGGATCATACATTAAATTAATATCAAATCTTATTGCTCAAGTTGCTAAAAAAAAAGAAAAAAGGCCAATCATACCTGAAGACTACTGTATTACACAATTTTTTCCTTCCTTTTCCATGTTTTCATTCTCTTCATCAGGGGGAATTTCCATTTCCGTTTGTTTTTGTTTCTTCATCTCCATCTCCATCTCCATCTTCAGCTCACTCTCCAACTCCGGATGAAATGGCGTTTCCAGGATAGCTTTGTTTTTCTCTGATTTCTGCAGACCTTCTATCAGGGAGTCGTAGATTTTCTGCCAGGCGTCGATCTCTGAGCGCCAGAGTGCCGCTCTGGCTCTGATGAACTGTGAGGCTTCGGTCTCGCTGCCTTTGGACAGACTGATGCTGTCTTTACAGATGAAGAAGACATCCATGCCGAGAAAAAAAGCATTCAGCCCGATGAGACCGGCTCTGGCGGACTTGGTGAGGGCCAGAGGCCCTTTGATTGCTGCCTGTCCGATATCTGGGATGTCTGCGGCCACCTTTGGCACGTTCCGTAAAGCTTGACCTTCCTCAGCCAACACCTTACCAGCACTTACAACCAGCTCCTCATTTTTTAACATTTTAAAAGCAGAGGCAGTATCAACAAGTGAATCAACACCTCTTGCAATGAAACCACCTTTGACAAGCACCCTGCTCACTCCCAAGGCTACATCTACCTGACTTGCTTCCATTCTGGCGACAGTTTGATTGCTGACTTTCTTCAGACAATCCTGGAGACTCTGCAAATCCTTCATGAGCCCCTCGAAGACCTCAGTGGCTTTCTTTTGTTGTGTACTGTTTACTCCTAACTCTGTCGCCGTAGTGACAAGGCCATTGACCCCGCTGGTGACACTAAGCCCTATCCCAGTCATGGTAAGACCCAGAGACACTCCAGCTGTTACAGGAATCAATGCTAAACCAATGATGGAAAGCACGCCTCCAACCGCCCCCACTGAGCTGCCCACCACACTGGAGATCTTTGCCCCCTTATTCATGGAGTCGAACTGAACAGCAATCTCCTCCAGTCCATCTAGAGACTGCAGCAGGCGAGGTTGACAATCTCTGAACTCGTCGAGGAAGCCAAGCAGTCATGAAACAAGTACACCAAAGAGAAGTGCTGGTTCATCCTGATGAAGAGAGAAAACAGGAAATGAATAAAAGGATATTTAACAAAATAATTCACAACTGTAACTGAGGTCCTAACTCCTTGAACTCTTTAAAGTTCCTGTGAAGAGTCACACTGGCATTCTGTACCGTGCCCAAGCACGCTTCACCTCTAAAGTCCAGTTTGTTTGACCAGTGTGACCGCTCCATGCCGTGCTCAAGCACGGTACACTTACTTGGCCATGGCACGCTTCGGAGAGGTGTGCTTCGACACGGTACAGTTCATGCACGATCATAAGCAACGTTAACAGCAAAATATCACAACGGCAATATACTGTCAAACTGAAGCGAGGGGTACAGTTATCTAACTGAAGGTGCACAATGTTGATATTAAAATGTTTTAATTAAGTAGCTTTAAATAAAGACGACTTCATTACTCATCATGGTGGTATTTAAGACATAAATAAGGGAAACATGAACAGTTTAGCTGACCAAAGAAGTTGACAGTGGGCTACAACAGCGTTGAAAAGATGAAGCCTGATATGAGGTTAACGTAACACCAAACTGCAGTGAATAAATACATTAATCCTGCATTTTACCTTTGAAGGCTCATTTTGTCATCTCCAATTAGTTAGATATCATCATGGATAATTTTATGATTTTCTTACAATTTATCAATTATTGCAGAATCGCTGTGTCATGATATCAACGTTGTCTTGGGCCACCTATTGTGTATCCTGAGTATACCCTGACTGTATTACTTAAAATGACCAGAATGCATACATATGGAATGATGCTGCTAACCTGATATCATCCAGTTGATTGATGTGATAGAGCATCCTCTCCATGTCGTCTTCTGATAAATCCAAATCCAGGTCTACTGCAGATTTCTTGATCATGTTCAGGTCGAAGTCACTGAAAGTGCTTTTAAAGACACAGTTATATTTACTCACTGAAACCGACTTCTATTTAGAAATAAGTTAAGATTTTCTTTTAAGGAATGACGGTTTACCTTTTCTCCAACAGTCCACAGATCCTCTGGGTGGTCTGGATGTATTTGTCCAGCTGATACGCTAGCACTTCCACATTCTGCAGTTTGGGCTGGAAGAAGACCATTTCATCTCTTTTAAACTCAACGAGCAGAGGGCAGACCAGCCGTGCAGCAGCGATCACCACCTGAACATGATCGAGGCCGACCCCCTCTGGCAGGTGTAACACCACCTGCCTCCCCTCCACGAACACATGAAGTGAGGTGACTGCCAGCTTCTCTACCGCATCCAGGAAACAGTGGAGCTTCTCCAGTTCCATCAGAGTGTCCTTCAGCACAGCAGCCAGCTCCTTCTCCAGCTCTTCCAACCTGCTCTTTGCGGTCACCTGTGTCACCTTGCTCTTCATGTACTCAAGAAAGGCTTCTCCTTTATTCTCTGACTGGCTAACATGGCTGATGTTTAGGTCGATGCCGTCAGCCCTGTCCTTGATGTCCATCATCATGTTTAACTCTGACTCCCTCCCTAGCATCCATTTAGGGACCCTCTCACAGAATCCTCTCACCGTGTGGATGTGGATGAGGGTGTCTGCAGTGTAGCGCAACAAGGCCTTCTGGAGCTCCTTTCTGTATGAAAATAAATGGAAACCAATCAACCCAGTGTAGTCTAGTTTTTTTCCATGCATAACTTTTCTCAGGGCTTTTGTTTCGGTTTTAATTGCAGTTGTACAAGATGTCCACTAGATGTCGCCAAAGCGCATAAAAAAGTCAGTGACAAAACTGTTCTCGCTGTTAAATGACTTCAAAGTTTCAGAAGACATTATTCATGCTCTAATAAGGCAGCATTTGGGATATTGTAAAGCTATCAGTTGATTCAATTAAATCAGAAATAAAACCAAGTTTATTTACATTAAGTTACATAATTAAAAGCTGAAATTTAGGACATGGTCTCCCACTGTTTGTCGTCCTGAATAGTAACCTACAACATAAATTAGGACCTTTAAGTCAGTGTGAAAAACAAACTCAAAAGGATCACGTACTGTAGGCTAGATGCATGTTGTGCACTGGGAGGTTAAAAGAACAATAACATGTTGCATCATTCTCGTCTGATCAACTTCACAACATTTTAAAAACAAAATTGATTGCGTATTCAACATTTAAAGAAACACACAAAAATCAAACACTTGAAGGCAGCTCGTTGTATCTCAACGTACAGTTTTCTTTTATGCTTGCGATGGCATGTATTTATAATTTCCTGTGCAACAGTAATAACAGCTGCAGGGTTCCTTACCTTGACGGGACATCCTGTTGCCTCTCTTTATGCTGCTGTCTTCTGTAACTTTACTGGGCTCTCTTCATATTATCTGCGTGGCTAAAATGAAAATAGAGACTAGAGATCACACTTTATATTGAAAAGCTCCGTAGAAAAAAACTTCACCTGACGCCCCTGTGTTTGGTTTCGTTTTCCTTTCTCCACGTCACGAGCTGGAGTCACACCCACGTATGCCTACATTCATAAGTGTTTGTTCATAGCTCGATGGTCCAGTAAGTTCAGTTTTCATCATTCATGTGTCATTGTTTTCATAGTTCTTCCCTACACAAGATGTCAATACAATTGGTTTATGACTTTCTGCTGAACTTGAATCGTTGCCTGGTTTGTATTTGGGGACAATTAATGACTCTTTCCACTGGGAGGGTAAACATCCCTCTTCCCTATTGTATCATGTAAATAATATTTATTTGCCCTTATCACTTGATTTGTTTAGCAAACAGTCACTGACCTGGTCTCCCATGTTGTCCACATTTGTGTTTCCCTTTACAAGCAATGGCTGTGGGTTATGTCCATATAGGCTATTTGGCAGTTGTTGCATCTTATTGACTGCGGTCAAGCCAGCCGCTCCTCGAGTTTACATGGTGAAGTGAGCCGCCCCTAAATCTGAAGTGCTCACGTATTCTGATCTTTATGGTAAATGCTCCGGACTGCAGAGCGAGCAGGAGGAACAGACAGAGAGTCCGTTATTAATCTCCTTTTTTCTTTTTTCTTTTTGAAAGTGCTAAATGCCGAAGTCTTACCATAAAACTGGCTATGAGATACACTTGTATGAAACGGGAGTAAACCGATTACTGTACAGGGAATAGCTTCGCAGAATAATTCTGCGAGTCTGCGGTAACTTCCGTTTTTCAAAATAAGGTGTTCACAATTTTAAAAAAAAAAACGTTTTCTTGGAGAAAAAAATAATTATATATATTTTCTTACATAAGTACACAATGATTCTGATATGGTTGGACTAAGTACTTATTAGACTACATGCACAGGTAATATAAAGTACTTTTACTGTGTACTTTTTGAGAAATCCACTGTCAAAGTCCGTAATAAATCACTATAGAGAGTATTTTTTCTGACTTTGATGTCTTGTAAAAATAAATTCATCCATAAGTAGAAAATGATTCTGATATGGTTGGGCGTAGTACTTCCTAGACTACATGCACAAGTAATATAAAGTAATTTTACTGTGTACTTTTTGAGAAATCCATTGTGAAAGTCCCTTATAAATCACTATAGAGAGTCTTTTTTATGACTTTGATGTCTCGTAAAAATAAATTCTTAAGTTACCGCAGACTCGCGGAATTATTCTCACACTAACTTCCCCGACCTCCGAAGCTATTCCCTGTACTGCATTCTGTTTACTCCCGTTTCATACACGTGTATCTCATAGCCAGTTTTATGGTAAGACTTCGGCATTTAGCACTTCACTTCATCGCTGTCTCTGTCTGTTCCTCCTGCTCGCTCTGCAGTCCGGAGCATTTACCATAAAGATCAGAATACGTGAGCACTTCATATTTAGGGGCGGCTCACTTCACCAGGTAAACTGGAGGAGCGGCTGGCTTGACCGCAGTTCTCATTGGGGGAGGGAATGCACCTTATCACTGAACTGCACCTTATCACTGAACTGCACCTTATCACTGAACTGCAGCAGGACTCTATGTCGAGTTTCTCCCTGTTTCCAAAGGCCTGCAGCCGCCTGATTTACTGTCACTGGTCCTCCTTTCAAAACTTTCTGCAGCTCTTGCACATTTTCATTGAGGGGAATACCTGTCCTAAGTCCCCTCACCACACTCCTCTTACCAACAACCCCACTCCAATAATCTCTGTTTTTACGCAGAGACTCCAACTGCATTGCTTTGTTTTGCTGTTGCGCACTTTCGCAACAACGACATACTGTTAGAGCAAGCCTGTAGATGCATACAATATAGTATACAATGAAGCATCCTGACCAAAGTGGAATTCAAACCCAGTCACAGTTCAGGTTATGCAAAAAACAACAACAACAACAACCCCACTCTCACGCTTTGTTTACTCACTTTTATCGGCGTTCAACTTCCCTCTTTTCTATAACCAAGCCTTGTTTTCAGAGCTCTTCCTGATGCTGCTTTTAAAGACAATTGGAAAGTATGCGACATTTGATAACTCTGACAAAAACTCAAACAAACTAAAAAACAAGTTTAGATAACGGTTCCTGGAGACTAATAAAACATTTTGGGAGGCACAATATGAATATATATCACTGTATTGCACCTGTATATCTCACCTTCTACTGCTTCCATGTTTGGGTTGGAACAAGAACACGCGCACATTTGTGTTCTCGCGAGATTTACGGCGTTGTCACCTGCTCGTAACTGGAACGTCCAAGAAAAACAATGGAAGTTTTTTGAACATTTCCAATAACATTCAGCACTTTGCAGAATTCATTAGGTAAACAATCTTTTGAGTGAAACATTTAGTTTTTTTAAGAGTTTGCCTTACGTTACATAGCAGACCTAATCCAACACAAAGCCTAAACTCCTGTTAAAAGGTACATTTTATTATCACACGTTTGTTGTGTACATATTAAACAAACAACATAGTGTGTTTTAAAGCCAAGCTAGCCCTCTCCCTTTGTCCACAGTGTTAGGATAGGCTAACGGACTGCTGGTTTTAGCCTCATAGTCCTTTCTAACAGACACAGCTGAGTATCAATATTCTGCTTTAATTTCCACTAGGGAGAGTATTTATTAATATTTCTGTAGTACTGTAGTTTTGTCTGTCAGCTCAGTACACAGGACAGCCCTTGTTGTGTCACCACTTTACACTCATGATTCACTCTCAAACTCCCACTTGGACTTGCATAAAGACTCCATTCAGTTCAGCTGATACCCATGTGACCACCAAGACTATTGCTGCATTTATGTGGTGTCGGACACATCAGATTAAACAGTTTAATGTTTCTTTTGTATTGTACTTTTTTACTGTACATTTGTCTGGACTTTAGCAGCATGGTGCTGGGTTTGGACTGTGTGTGTGTTTGTCTGGTGTGTGTGTGTGTGTGTGGGGGGGGGGG